TATCACTATACACTTAAATTAAGATATAATGAAAGAGCATAAAATGAAATAAATAACATTAAGATGAAGGTATTTATATAACCAGGTTTATTTAAAAAGATGAATACTGCTAAACTCCAACTATCCATATTACTATTGAAATCTATAATTAAACATTCCTTTTCACCTTTTGCTTTTCAGATCTTCTGGGCTGAACTGAATATTAAGAATTCCGAGATCATTTTCATCACCTCCCACAGGAATTAGAAGAGGAGTAGCATCTTCCTCCATTAGAGAAGAATGTTTTGTGCTTCCTATGTTGCTAAAAATGAAATTGATATATTGTTAGAAGGGATTGTCTTTTCATTTCTATAAAGTTTCCTCATACAATGAAATAAAGTTGTAGAATTAAATTTTCCCTGAAAACACACATTTATGTGTGACTTTATTAAAAAGAGGCTGTTTCCCTAATTGTATACTCGGAAACGAGAAGGAACTTTTTATTGTAAGGTTTTTTTTTTATAAATGCACCCTATTGCTGAATTCTAGCACAGAAATAACTTTTAATAGCATTTTTTTTAAAAAAGGCTAAGATAGTTGGATTCATAGATGTGCATTTAATAAAACATTGGGTATATTTGTACAGCCCATTAAGCCATAATGGCTGGATTCACAGCAGATATTAAACTGAAACCAAGGATAAACCCTTTTATAATTTAGCACAAGATGCAAATCTGTTGCCAACTTTAAAAGACCGAAGAGGCAATACTATTACTTTTCTTACTCCAAGGTTAAGATAGAACCTGACTGGGTTTATAATAGTGTTCTTGAAACCTGGCAACTTTTAAGATGTATGGACTTCAACTCCCAGAATTCCCCAGTCAATATGCTGGAAATTGAAGAATTTTAAAATTGCCAGGTTTGAAAAACACTGGTTTATAGCAAACCTAAGTGGTTCCTCAGTGGTCTGAGGGAAGTTCAGAAATTGCAAGGTATCAGTGAGGCAAGAACTTCTGGAAATCAGAAAATCACCACACATAGGTTCAGAAGAATTGCTGCCTTTCCAAAAACCAACACCAGCCTTAATTTGTTTTCAATCACAGTGGAAGATTGTGTCAGGGTGTGCGTGTTTGGGGATGTGGGGGTGAGGGGGAGGTTAATTCTCCAAACCACTCAACATTATTTGATTGTACAGAATCTGCAGCTGGTTCCAAAATGGCAAAGAATCTTGTATACAAGCTGCAGAGAAACATCATTTAAAACCTCTAGTGCTGTTGGCTGTACAGGTAGTCCTCGGCTTACAACAGTAAGTGTGTTCTGTACAAAGTTATAACGGCACCGAAAAATGTGACTTATGACCGTTTTTCACAGTTACGACCTTTGCAGCATCCCCATGATTATGTGATCAAAATTCACATGATGGCTCATATTTGACAAATGCAGTGTCTTGGGATCATGTGATCACATTTTACGAAGCAAAGTTAGGGAGGAAGCCAGATTCACTTAGTTACTAACCAGATTCACTGGATTACTAACTTGTCAGCTGCAGTGATTCACTTAACAACTGTAGAAAGGTCGTAAAATGGGGCAAAACTCACTTAACAAACATCTCACCTAACAGAAATTTTGGGCTCAATTGTGGTCATAAGTTGAGGACTACCTGCATATGCGTATTTATTATTGACATTGTAGAAGCCACTGATAACTGGTGGCCCTCCACCTCCAACGGATCTTGGATGAAGCAGATTATCTAGACCCTTTTCAGTCTGGTTTCAGGCCTGGCTACTCCACTGAAACCGCTTTGGTCGCACTGACCGATGATCTCTGGCGGGCCTCTGTGCTCCTTGACCTCTCAGCGGCCTTCGATACCATCGACCATGGTATCCTTCTGCGATGGCTGGAAGAGGTGGGAGTAGGGGACACCGTCTTACAGTGGTTCTCCTCTTACCTCTCCGACAGGTTGCAGTCGGTGTTGGTCAGAGGAGAGAGGTCGCCTCCATCCAGCCTGTCCTTAACCCTGGGGGGAGAAAAATTCCCCCCCTCAGAGAGGGTTTGCAATTTGGGGGTCCTCCTGGACTCACAGCTGACCTTGGAACACCACCTGTCGGCTGTGACCAGGGGGGCCTTTGCCCAGGTT